AGCAGCACTGGACTGCAGGGGATCTAAAGCACCACAGCAGGCAGCGAGAATGTGGCCCAGTGTTCTCCAGTCCCTGAGACTGGCACAAAGCACTGCAGTGAAGCCCAGCAGGCTAATGATCGGTGCATTTCTGGCGTCCGTCTTGCCACAAGGAGTGAGATCAGCTGCCCTCCTCACGCCCGCTGTGCAGTGACAGCTGTTGCCTGAATAAAGAAAGTGTTTTTATAAGCGACAGCTGTAGAATAACTTTTCCTTTCTAACGCTTGTTCTGGTACCTCATCGCTGAAGCAGGAGGGTGCAGAGACCTTCCAGCGGTGTTTGCTTTTTTGCCAACCATTACTGTAGTGAATGTCCTGAAAGAGCAGCATAAGAATCATAATCATACAATCCTAGAATAGTTTCAGCTGGAAGAGACCGTGAAGATCATCGTGCCCAGCCTTTGTCCCAGCCCTGTCTACCCACTAAACTACGTCCCCCAGTGCAACGCCAGACCAACCCTCCATCAGCCTGGTCTCAAAAGGAAAGGCTGTTCTGGGGGAGTGCCCAGCCACATCGCTTTCTGCGGGTCATTCTCCTCCTGCTCCCCTGGTTCCACAGCTGTTGCATTAAAAATGGGAGAGGATACATTTGAGGCTGTTCCTCTTGGTATCTGCTTCTGGACCTGTCAGGCAGAAGTTTGTGAAACTCCTTTTTGAACCAGTTGCCCATCTGACTCCAAACCCTCCTGAAGGCAGGTTTCAGAGGTCTGCAGCTCGAGGAGGGACAAAGTACCGATGTGGCAGGGCTGCCTACGGCCTGGGGGTGTCCCATGGCTGCAGCACGCCTACCTGGGCCTCACATTCTGCCCCGGGGGTGTGCAGAGCCGGAGGACAGGGGCATGCCAGGCTACAACCTTCTGGATAGCAGCAGGCAGCCAGTAGACAGCTGAAAACTTGGGGGTGCTGGTGCGTGTTATTACTGACGTGACAGTCAGTGGGTTTTGATTCACATCACTGCTTTACAGCTTAGCTCCTGCCACCAGTCTTACCACAGTGCTCAAAAGCTTCCTTCCACATTACGGAAAAATATTTTGCATTGTCATATTGACATTTCCAGTTTTTCAATTTTGTTGAATATTGTTTTGCAGCAAGTGAAAGAAAATTTTGCGCGAATTCAAGCCTGCATTTCAGAGCTCCGCTCACTACCAAGAGAAGGCTGTTTCCCCCAGGGGGGAAACGGAGTGGTACAAGCTGTGCAGGATGGATTGCAGCAGTTCAAACAGTACAGCAGGCACACCGCAGCAGGAGGCTCAACAAATAGTTCTGTCGAGGTAAGAAAACGTTGGAAGGGTGGTGGGAGCAGGGAAGTGAGCAGAAGCGCCACAGCCCTGCTGACGCTGGGGCAGTCCCCGGCAGGGCAACGCTGCGGGAGAGGCAGGAAGGACAGGACTGGGTGATGAGCAGCAGTAAGATGAGGAAGCGAGTGTGTTGAAAGCTGTTTTTCAAGCATACTCAGAGCACTTACGGAGGCGTTTTGGTTTTGTTAGAAGTACAGTTTCTTCAGGGTGAGGCCCCGACAGCCAGTATTTATGGTACAAGAGCACAGCTGGCACTTTACTTGTGCAGGTTAGATGCAGTCTTTAGGCAAATGTGCATTTTCCTAACCACAGAGACGCAAGAGTACTCCGAGCTGACTGGTAAGCGTAGGAGGCAGACTTTCATAGAATCATAGGGTCATTTCCCTTGGAAAAGACCTTTGAGATCATCAGTCCAACCATGAGCCTAGCAATCCCAAGTCCACTGCTAAACCATGGCCCTCATCTACACATCTTTTAAATACACCCCTGGATGGTGACTCCACCACTTCTCTGGGCAGCTGATTCCAGTGCTTAACAATCTGCAAAGTTTGCTACTGCCTGCAGTCATTTAAAACCCAAACATTTGTTAAAAATGTTGAAAATGCTTACTCTTTTGAGATCCTGTCTTCAGAGGCAAAACACCACCAGCATCAGCAAAGCTTAAGTCTCAGCAGGAGCTACTGGGCAGGAAATGTGACCAGTCTGCAAAAGGATGAAAAGTGTTTTTCAAGTCACCAGTTTTTCGCAGATTAGGAAGTATAATGGCATTAAGAGATGATATCTAGGAACTGTGGTAATATGAAGGGAAGTCACAGCAGTTACCTTAGTTTTTGTATGTGTTAAAATACTTCTCCTGATATCTGCCCATGTGTGCTAAGCACTCCCACCAGGGGCTTTGCAGGGCCAGCTCAGGCAGCAGCCCCCGGAGGGTGTCCTTGCCCCCAAATCCCTCGCTTGGTGTCCGGGTCAGACACCAGCCCCTGTGCTCCCTGGCGGGCCGGGGCTTGGAGGGGCTGAGGGCAGGAGCCAGGGCAGGGCGTTGCCTGGGCTCTTCCGCCTGTCACTGTGTCTTTGGTCTCCTTTGAGGCAGCGCAGATGATCTTCCATCACATAACCTAAAGGTTTTCATGGAATTAAGGTGTACTGGTGTAGGAAATGCTCTGTGTGCAGCTGTATTAAACAATAATACCTACAGAGAGTTCTGGTCTCCCCAACTCAAGAACAGTTTCTGCTGTTTACTTTTGCCAGTTTTTAAAGGAGATTCTAATTACTACTTCATTCCCAATAGCTCATAAATAAACACTAAGGATAGATCTGACTGGAGAAAGGATACTCCTTGACCCCTTCTCTTCTCCCCACCTACCCCACCAAAAAACCCATTTCACTAAGACCTGAACTGTTACTTCTGTTGCCATTCTTTAGTATCTTTGTAGCAGAACTCATTTGTGAAGGTCTGCTGTTAAGTTTCCCTAAACGTTCACTACAAGCATTGTTAACCACCTTACCTTAAATACTCTCTTCAGAGTGAAGAGTGACAAAATAGTCCTTTGAAGCAATGAGCAGATGTGCTGAGGAGACTCAGCCCTTCACTGTCACTAAATATCAGGCAAGGTCAGGGCTTGACATTTTGTCACCTAACTGCCCTTTCAGGGCAGGATTTGGTATCAAACATGCCTGACATTTCTAGAAAACTTGCTGATTGTCAATGACAAAGAAACTCTTTGCGGTCATTTGCTTAGCACTACATCAAAACCAGGAGGTGGGAATCACACCTACTGCTGCTCTCTTAAGAGACATCTTTGGAATAGATTATATACCTATTTAAAAAAAAAAAAAAACAAAAATTCAGCCTTTGAGTGAGAAGGGCAGATTTAAGCTACTTGAACTCTAATCGATGCAGTAATTGGAAGTGGCACTGTCCCTCCAAAGTCTCAGGCAGACCCGCTCTTTACTCGCACAGACTCGCTGACCATAGGTGTGAAGCATGGAACAAGAGAGAGCTGTGGATTTTTCCCTCTTCTAGCAGTGGCACAAAACCAGTTGGTGTTCCTACACTCAACATCTCCATCCACTTTATACTGGCTTAAATAGAAGCCAAAGCTCAAAGAAATGCTTTTATATTTGGTTTTGAATGGATATTTTAGCAAGACATTTCTCCCCAGTGGGGCCTCTGCTGTTCGAACAGACCAGGCGTCATCGCCTTCCAAGAGAGGATTAAGGCAGAGGCAGCTCTTGCACCCTCTGCTTTGCGTTTCAGATCACGATTTTGACCAGCCAGCCCAGCAAACAAATGGTGCAGCAGCTAGAAAAGAAGCTGAAAGATGTAGACCTTGTGAGCCTGCGAAGAATACAAGTCGTTGAGGTTTTGAAGAGAGACTTTCTGGAGCCTGAGGCTGTGGAACAGTGCGTGCCAGCAGGAGAGTCCAGCAGCAGCGGTGAGTACCCAACAGACAGTTCCTGCTTCAGTCGTGTCCCACTTTCCTTTGTGCTCTTTAGCATCACTCCTCTAAGTGGGAATTCCTGGGCCTGGAGGAACAGCTGGAAGCTTGTGCCACAGCATTTCTCTGGGGCTTCGGGCAGAATTAGCACCATGCATTACTGCATCCCTCAGCATTACCTAAAATTGACTTTGTGTGTGATACAGCTTTACTGAAGGGTTAAAAACACATCAAGTTTATGGGGTAACATGCTCTCAGACACACAGACGCACGTACTGCTGAGCATCACTGATGGCAGAGACAAGCAGAGCCCTTGGAGCAGGCAGCCAGGGCAGAGGGGGCAGCAGGAGGAGTCTCAGTGATGCTGCAGAGATAACCTCCTCCTCCTGCTCACCAACTTGTCCTTTTACAAGGTGCTTGTTTCCACACAATTCTTAGGTTAGTCCCTTCTCCCAGACACAAATCTACATCTACACATCTTTTAAATACACCCCTGGATGGTGACTCCACCACTTCTCTGGGCAGCTGATTCCAGTGCTTAACAATCTGCAAAGTTTGCTACTGCCTGCAGTCATTTAAAACCCAAACATTTGTTAAAAATGTTGAAAATGCTTACTCTTTTGAGATCCTGTCTTCAGAGGCAAAACACCACCAGCATCAGCAAAGCTTAAGTCTCAGCAGGAGCTACTGGGCAGGAAATGTGACCAGTCTGCAAAAGGATGAAAAGTGTTTTTCAAGTCACCAGTAGCCCAGTTTTTCGCAGATTAGGAAGTATAATGGCATTAAGAGATGATATCTAGAAACTGTGGTAATATGAAGGTAATATGAAGGGAAGTCACAGCAGTTACCTTAGTTTTTGTGTGTGTTAAAATACTTTTACAAGGTGCTTGTTTCCACACAATTCTTAGGTCAGTCCCTTCTCCCAGACACAAATGTACATTGGTAGGAAGAGGTACTTTCCCAGACCAATTCAGGTACTTATCTTGCCCATCAGCTGTTTTGTCACTGGCGTCGTTCTTGCTTAGCTGCTGCTTTTCTCCTGTGTACTTTGGACAATTTGTCTAAAGATCCTAAGGTTATACTTCCTCAGTGACCCACGGCTACACACCAACATGCTCTTTGTACTCAGTCCTGCACCTCTGTCCCAGCCCAGCTCCTGCTTCAGAGACCTTTACTGCTGACACTTAAACTCTCCATCAACAAGACCCACTTGGTACCAAGCTCCGGTTCACCCAGCAGGTTCTCATGAGCTGATGACAAGGTTAAAAGTCTGGGTGCTGATACCTTGCAAAGTTAGTGTTAGACCTGTCACTAGCAAGACGAGGCTGTTTTTACTGAGGCACAGGCAAGGTGGGATGGTGTTGCCTTACCAGTCTGTAGTTGTTCTCTTCTGGCTGCAGCAGCAGGTTCCTGGTGAGTGGGCAGCGTCGGGGCTGGGAGCACTCGGGTGGGATGCAGATTCCCTTTGGTCCTGCCTCTTGCACACCTGGTCACGTGC